CCAAGGAAAATAAAAATTACATAACCTCCAACCACCGATCAGCAGAAAACTTTGCAAGTTTTGGATGAACTCCGGAATTTCTCAAGCACATTTCTCCGGCTAAGAAAAAACTAACCGAATCTGATTAAATTATAAAGAAAATGCGATCCGAAGTTACCTGAAGAAGATCGAGAAATGAACCCGCAGGGTTGGGGGGTGGCGCTGTCTGCGAAGGATTTGAAATTCGTAATAACAACAAAACAACAAGAACAAAGCTGTTCGTGCGATTTTTAAAATGGCAAAGATGCAATATCGGCCGATTTTTATTAATTGAAATGAATAGGGAATTGGCGCCCAGGGCCGGATTCAAATGACGAAGTCACGTGTTGATCACGTGCTGAACAACGGCTTTCGTTTTATTTGAAGATTAAATTTGGGAAACAATCGGCTGCGTGCTGCCCACTTAAAATAGAACTGGAGGTCTGGATTTAATCCACCCAGAATATGTCACGTGCAACTCGCGTGACCTGGCACTGCTCTATACAAATAAATTGCAATTATCGGATTATCTACTMAAATTGAATATCTCATAAAAGTTTATCCATTCTCGTAATTATATAATTATCTTCTTTCATACGTCCTAATAAAAGTTTATAGATTATTTTTCAAAAAAAAAATATATATTGTAGTCGATCTCAATTTTATATTTATATTTATAGTATTCTCAAAATGTGATTATTAAAATATCAAATTCTACTCGACGTCAATCTCCAAGGAGATAGAAATCGTAGAAGTGCTCCAACATTCTTTATATTCTTACGTTATGGTATATAAGACAATTTATTTTAGGGAAAAATAAATAAAAAAGGTAAACAAATAACTTAGAAGGATGGTAATGGTAGTGAAGGAAGCAATAGTTTAAAGCAAGGCTTCGACAAATTATTTATTACAATTCCTGTATTTATTATTATTATCTTTCAAGGAAAACAGTTCTTCTGTATTTATTAATAAAAGGCTTAGGATTCGGGCTCAAACGGTAATAAGACTGGGCCAATGGGGCCCACAAAGGCCTTTTACAGATGCCCACCAAATCAGCCCGTGTTCGTTACGGTTCAAATAGCGGTCTGGTGGGGCCCATGCGGTTTATTTTCAAATTGAACGGGCGGGTGATTGGATGAGTAAACCCAAACTCTTTGAACCAAATCAAATTAGTTTCAATTTATTTGGACGAATAAAATATATTTTTGATGCATAAGATTTAGATTTAGTTTTTATTTTGTCCATGAATTTAAAAATCATCATTTTTTACCTTCAAGATTTAAATTTTGTTTTTATTGGATCCTTAAATTTCAAAAGCAACATGAAATTTGAATTAGTCTATCAAAGTTTGAATTTAGTTTCTAATTGACGCTTAAATTGAGTTGACTTTGCAGAATGATGATGTTGTACAATTAACATTACATTGACCACATAATAAAAGACTTCTCAAATGACTCGATATGAAAGTCGATTTAAAGACGAGCAAAGAGGAAGGGCTAAGGTGTTGTTGGAAGAGTGAAAGAAAGGGTGGAAAAAATAAGGGAGGGAGAAGGACGATGAGAGAAAAATGTTACTAAGAGAGAATAAATAATAATAAAATTTATCCGACTCATTTAAAAAATAGATATCACTTAAGTTTAGTCAATATATATTTGCTACCACATCGTCGTCATGTTAGGTCATATAAAGGTAAATTCAATTCAAAGATCAATTAGAAATCAAATTCAAACCTCATGGATCAATTAAAATTTAAATTTAAATTTCAAGTAAAAAAAATGGTGGTTTTTAAAACTTAAGGGTCTAAGTGAAACCCTCAAGAACCAAAAGTTAATTTTTTTGTAAAATCTCACATATTAATTTTTAATTTGATCAATATCCTATAAATTTATAAAATTTACAATTAAACACAATAGGTTGTTTGTGCAATTTCCCGTAAATAATAATAATAATAATAATAATATTAAAGTTGAAACAATTGATTTTTTTTCCTTAGTTCGACAATTGCAAAGGTGAAAATTAAATTGTCGACCTGTAGGATAATAATTAAGCGCATTATCCACCAAATCATGTTCGAATCTGCATATCCAAATTTAGTGAAATAAATATATAGAACATGATTAGGCATTCAATAAACCGTTCAATATATCATTTACTCTAAATCATATATTTCCACTATTAGGTTTAAGTCATAAATTTAATTTTAGTTCATTTTCGAATTTTTTGTTTTAACTTTAAAATTTATATTTTAGTTAATAAATTCTCAAAAATGCAAATATTTTTTGCGTGTTACTATTGATATCAAATTAATTGTTTATAGATGGGATGATGTAGATTTAAACATTTTTTTTAGTTATTGTTATTATGATATCAGTTGTGATAAACACAATTTACACGTGTCTTGACTAGTTGATATTAGCATATATTAGTAGATATTATGTGAGATAGATATCATATGAGACGTCAATTCAAACTCAACTCGACTGATTAAGACATGTATATTTGATCAACAAATCAAATATTAGAATTTACACCTTATATATTGCTAAACTAAAAAAAAGTTAATCTACGATAAATATTAGGTTTCAAATATGACTTTTTTTTTTTATGGAAAAAGTAATAATAAAACAAAATGCCAAAACAAAAAGGGCAAACCAATACCCACCTCTGCTATGGCTTCTAGTAGCCTAAATGTTATCTTGCTAATAACTTCCTATGCTTACCAAAAGCTGGTTGTAAAAATAATTTTTAGAGTTTTAAATAAATAATAAAATCCAACTTGCAATATTTTAGTTGAAGTTATATGCCAATTAATGTTAGCCAAAATTAAAATATGGAATATATTGATATTGACTTTATTAGTTGGTTGGTAATCTTAAAGTTAAGGTGACTGGTAATCTTAAAGTTAAAGTGGTTTGCTAAAGCCAGACCACCGAGTACAGTTCAAGTGGTTAAGACACTTATTTTTAACTAAAAGTCATGAATTCGAACCTCACCCCACATGTTGTACTAACAAAAAGTGGTTTGCTAAACTTAACTATTGATACATACGTGAATACTACCGCAAATATTATAAAAATTCAATAAAGAATATATTTTTTTTAATAAATTATAAAGAATACTACCTTAACATATCAGAAAAATTTCAAAACAAACATTTGTTAATATTTTAAGTTGAAAGTTGACATGGTAGAATTTAAAACGACGTGACAATTAATATAGAAATTAACATGAACATATTGGTCCAAATTTGTCCAAAAAGTCTTATTCCTCAATTATCTATCTACCCAATTTTGCATTAATCCCATTTAAAAACGATAGATTCTTCGTATAAATTTCCACGTTAATTATCACGTTGTTTTAGATTACATTACATTAACTTTTCGCTCAAAATATTAACAAATATTTCGTCAAATATTATTTTTGAAATGTTTACCAAGTAGCACTAAATTGTTTAAAAGAACATGATTATTTGTTTTTTTCTTTTTAGTACGAATATGGGTTTTTGTATGTGGTAATATATATATATATATATATATATGTGTGTAATTTAGCCAATCTTTTTTAATTAGAAAAAAGGTCTACGTATTACGAAATCCTGTACATTAATAAAATACCATATTAATTAATCATTGGCTAAATTTGCATCAAACTAATGGCCAGATGTTCCATCCCAAATTCCCAATAACTTCTTATTCCCACAAAATAATAATAATAAATAAATGGCGGCCTTAAGATTCTCTCACACAAGGCATAGTCCAAATGACGTACATGCCCTTGTATTTTGAGTGGTAAGATAATTATAAAAAAAAATGTTAATTTTTATTTTTCACAACTTTTTTCCCACTTTTGTAATGTCTATTTAGGATTAGTATTTTCTAAACTACTCCGTACTATTTTTCTTTGAATAGACTATTGATTCTTAAACTTGAATATAGTCTATGTGATGACATACAAAATTAATGTTAGATTTGTAGTATGAAAATTTTGTAATGCTAGTTAAAATGAATTTTGCATAAAGGTTAATACAAAACACTTAGAAATATTATAAACAAAATAAAATAAATATAAAAAATTGATCGTTTAACTTAAATTAGACACATCTACCTCTAAATAGTTTTTGACTTTTAAAATATAGTTTTGACAATTTTTTTAAAGTTATTTTATATTATTTTTAATTTCCAAATGTACTACTGACAAATACAACGTTAAAATGATATTATATGATTATACGAAGAAAAAAACAATAATAAAGCAAAATTTTACCATGTTGAACATGTGAGACATTTTTTAGTTTAATGATTTAATATTTATATTTGGTGAATTTAGAGGGAGTGAATTAAAGTGGATTCCTCTTGAGAATGATTGTTTAAAGATGAATGTTGATGCATATCCATCATATTTGCAAGAAATCGATATGGGTTGAGAGTGATTGCAAGGAATTCATAGAGTTGTATGGCAGTGACTCGATCAAAATATTTGGAGTCTTGCATTGACGTGTTTGTAATAGATATATTGGCTCTTCTTGGTGACATGTAAATGGTAGAGTTTGAGTGCACAAGAGCCTAGTTGAATATGATTCCTAGCTTTGGTACTGTATTATATTAGATTCATTATATTATATTAAAGACTGATAAATAATAAGGAAAAATAAGTTAATTTTAAATAATTTGGGGAGTTTAACAAAATTACAATAATAAAATCAAAACTGATTTTAAAAAATAGAGATAAAATTAAAACTAAGCACCAACTAAAATTTTAAAACTACAGCGATTTATATATTGAAATTAAGCTAAAATGAAAGACACAATAATTTGAGGTATTTGTTTAGAATGGAAAAGCTGCTTTTAAGTTTTAAATAACCTCAACATATTTGAAGGGCAAATGAGTATTTTCGGGATTAAATTTAGCGTTACTTTTCCAAAATTGGAAAGAGCGTGCTACTTTTCAATTGCGTGCTGTATCGCAATCCGTGGCCTCGCCTCTCAGGTAAGGAGAAGAAAAGGAGAAAAAAAAGGAAAAAAAGAAGAAGAAAGAAATGGAAATGGTTCGACGAATGTAAGAGAATCCAACTTCTGCCATTTCATTTCGTGACATTTTCGATCGAGAAAAACAAGAAAGCAGAAGCTTATGCAATAGCAAAATCAGGGCCTCTTATATTTTCTCGGCTTCCAAACAGACCCGATAATTTCGGGAAGAAAAAGAAGAGGAAATTTTGATGGAAAATTCCAATAGGGCTGAGGCAGAACGCTTGCTTGGAATCGCTGAGAAACTCTTGCACAACCGTGATTTCACCGGTTCCAAAGATTTCGCCATCTTAGCTCAAGAGACAGAGCCTCTGTTGGATGGCTCCGATCAGATCTTAGCGGTCGCCGATGTGCTCTTGGCGTCGGAGAAGCGAATCAACAACCACAATGATTGGTATTCGATCCTCCAGATTGAACGGCGATCTGAGGATCCAGATCTCATCAAGAAGCAGTACCGGAAACTTGCGTTACTTTTACATCCCGATAAGAACAAATTTCCGTATGCCGATCAAGCTTTCAAGCTGGTCGCCGATTCATGGGCTGTATTGTCAGACCACTCGAAGAAATCGCTCTACGATGACGAGCTCAATCTCTTCGCTAAGATCGATTTGTCTCAGCAGAACAAATTGCCGGTTCGCCGAAGCCAGCGCAGTGGGAAGAAACAGCAAGGGTTTGAGAGCCCCGACAGCGGCAACGCCGATCAATCTCCGAATCAGCAGGTGAAATTATCGACCTTCTGGACCGCTTGCCCTTACTGTTACGTATTATTCGAGTATCCTAGGGTTTACGAGGGTTGCTGTTTGCGGTGTCAAAACTGCAAGAGGGCATTTCAGGCGGTGTTGCTCCCGTCGCTTCCGCCGCTGGTTCAGGGCCAAGAAGCCTACTATTGCTGCTGGGGATTTTTCCCGATGGGGTTTGCGGCTCAAAATCCCGAGAAAAGTGGGAAGGGCGGCGACACAGCGCCACCAGCAGCGGCGTTCCCCAGTTGGATGCCCCCAATATTTTCGAACAGACCACAAGAAACGAGTAGGAATGGAGAAACCGCCGCTGCGCCGCCGCCTCCGCCGCCGGTGGGTGTAGAGAGAGCGGCAGTGAATGCTCCTCCCGTTGTTAGCGCTCGGATAGTGAGTGGCACAGGTAAGAAGAGGGGCAGGCCACGGAAACATCCGATTGCAGCCTAAGTTGTAAAATTTTTCGAGAAATAATGATATAATATTTATGGAGCCGATTGGGAATTTCTGATTCTCGTTGTTGTAGTTTTAATCTAAGCGGTGTATGTCCAGGCGAGTTAGAACAAAAGAAGGCTGAAGCTGGGAAACCTGAGGTAACTTTTTGGTGTAATGCAGCCTTCTGTTTTTCATGTTAATTATAGGCATCAGATGTAGAAACTAGATGCTAGTTCCTCATTTACTTCTTAATGTTTATATGTAACTTTATTCAAACCATCAATTATAATTTGGAGTTCTTTATCCAACAAATGTGTTCTCATCGTATCATGAACTAAATTGTGAACTCCAAATGGGTCGTTGCTAGTCCGCTCGAATATGGATTCCTTCTTGAACTAAATTATGAAGTCAGTAGTTACTTGGCACAAACCATTGAAGTAGTCTTGCTTCTAACTTAGCTGTTGTATTTTGATGGTTCTGTATACAATTTACAAAAGTTTTCTTCCTTCCCCTTTAGAAAATCTCCATGAAAATGATTAATCTGAACAGAATGGTGGGTGCTTGGGGATCAATTTTAAGGATGTTGCTTTGCTTTCAGCAAGTTGTTGTTGGAGACTAAGCTATTGATCAAGTTATTCATTTTCATCCATGGTCCTTGTTTGGTAACCATTTTTTTTTGGTTTTCTGTTTTTGAAAATTAATCTTATAAGTTATACTTTCACCGATTTATTTCTTTATTTTTGTTAGCACGTTTTTAAAAAATGTTTTCATAGTCAAAATATGAAAACTAAAAAAAGTAGTTTTCAAAAACTTGTTTTGTTATCGCAATTTAACTACGAATTCATGAGTGTTTTAAAGAAAAGTGAAAAACATATCAAATAAATGGAATGGGAGGAAGCAAGCATCATTTTTTAAAAACAGAAAATTAAAAACGAAATCCTACCGATGTTTGCTCTTCTATGCTAGAAAATTTGGATATGGAGAAGTTTTTCCCTTTGGTCAATGCGTGATTGCTGCTTTAACTTTAGTTGGTAATTAGTTCAATATCATGCGTTACATAACTACTAGCATCATGATTTATCAATGTGCTGAGCCCGAATCTCAAACTTATGACTTATATTCTTAATAGTTCTGTTTTGGAATGAAGTGGATATATTTTTAACTCCATGAGACAGTGTCATGAACCTTTTCACTGGATCTTTCTATGGTGTTGTTTTGCAATCTGGTTATGGACCATAGTTGCTTTTGGTTACATTATGTGGGGTCTACACCCTTTGTTTATTTTAGTTGAAGGGAGTTTGTACTATAAATTATAATAGTTTTGGAAATTTCCTATGTAGTATAACATGATGGCCTTTACCGAGCTCCATTAGAAAACTAGTTTCAAACTCTATTTAAGTTCTAAGATCTATATATTTTTCAAAGATGTTTTCATTGTGATCAAGAGAATGTTTCTTTCTTCCAGTCCGTGATGTGTTATCTGCACTACTTTTCATTGCTAACCCGGAGCGACGAGGAATAAAGTCAATTCTGGCTAACTTGGTAATTAGTTTCTGTCTGATGGGTAGATTTTAACCGATCCATACACTGATTTGCTTTCTGTTTTGTGTTGTGTTATACTACATGACTAGATGATGGTGTGAAGTATATATGAATATGATATGCCTCAATTAGAAAACTAGTTTCTATAGCTTCCAAGTTCTAGGATGCATGTTTTCCAAAGATGCTTAGATCACTTGATCAGGAAAATGGTTTCTTTCTTTTGGTCCTCCTGATCTTTAAAAATCTATTTTATCGCTGTCCCGTGGCCGTGTGGAACGAAGTCATTTCTCGGTAACTTGGTCGACTTCTGTCTCTAATGGGTAGAGTTTTAACTGCAAGCTCTGCTGTTGGATTTTTTGTTTGTACTTGGCAGATGATGAAGAGAGGGAAATTATGGCCTTGCCTTCGCTATTCTAGATTGGTTCTCTCAACCCATTTTTGTAATGGGAAAGAGATGTCCCTCTCTTGCCTCCTAAACTTTTTTTTAATGGAATGTCTTGATAGCCACTGGACAACTTGGAGAAGGAGAGAAAAAGGGCATTATGGCCCATAGAGAGACATTGGATTTAGACCAACCTTTCTTGGCCAGTCACTGTTTTGGGTTTTGATAAATAGTTAGAAAGCCAACAAAACTTGACCAAAGCCAAAGCCGAAAGTATAGACCACACGAACTCAAACTTTCGTAGAATCCAGACTCTTTTCGACTTTCTCGATCTTGAAGTTGTATGAATTCAGACTTCGAAGTTGAAAATTTGTAATTTCTGTACAAAACTATTGACTAGGTGGGTTAAAGTACTTATCTCTTGATCATACTGGATTAGAGATCTCAAGCTCGAACCTTTTGATGAGCTCAATATCGAAAAATCTTGATGTCTCTTGGGTCCAGACCTTAGAACGA